TATGAAAACTGGAATATTTTCTGAAAGTCCCCCCTGTAAAGACAAGGAAAACTATGAGATTAATGCACTGGGTGGTCCTTTTATCTGAAGTGATATGTAAATGAAGGCACAATTTCACCTTTAAGGGATCCACTTGATTTCTCCTTTCAGTCTACACCCACAAACACAAAGTTTGTGCACTTTCCTGAATTCTTCCTTTTCAATTCCCTCCATTCATTAAAGGGGGACAAAATGATCCCATGGCTGAATTTGTTGTCCTTGTTAGTGCTACTTCAAGGTATTTTTCCCTCTTTAAATAATTAATTTCATTTTTTTTTTACTTTTTATGTATAGAATATTTCATTGAAAGACTTTTGCTTTTAGGTGCCAAGTCTCAAGTCCAGTTAGTGGAGTCTGGAGGGAATGTGAGAAGACCTGGGGAGTCTCTCCGTCTCTCCTGCCAAGCCTCTGGATTCACCTTCCGAAGCTTTGAGATGAACTGGGTGAGACAGGCTCCAGGGAAAGGCCTGGAATGGGTGGCCTACATAGATACATCTTCATCTCCAATTTACTACTCAGACAAAGTCAAAGGACGCTTCACCATCTCCAGGGATGATTCTCGCAGCCAGCTCTATCTGCAAATGAACAATCTGAAAACAGAGGACACAGCTGTCTATTACTGTGCGAGAGTCACAGTGAGAGGAAGTGAATCTGATGCCAAACAAAAACCTTCTCCTCATCTGAGCAACTTTCGAAATTGATTCAGAAATTCAAATGTGGGCATTTTAAAGTGAGAAGCAGAAGATAAATTGCCATAATCAATATGGAACCTCAGCTCTCATCTTCTAAGAAGCCGTGTGGAAGATGATTGACATTTTAAGTTAGAAGAAGGAAATCTCCAGGCTGTGGAACAAACTGGGGAGTTTGTAAAACATTGCTTTTTATCTAATCCTAATATAATCCACACTCACTGAATGGAGACAAATCATGGGTGTTGAACAAGCGAAAGTAAGAATGATTATTCTAAAAAAATGATTGTAAAAGTGGTACAGAAGAGATTTTGATAAATGAAGAGGCAAAACCATTTTTATAGCACTTCATGGTCCTTTGCAGACCTCTCTGAGCAGTTTAGAGAGCCAGCACATTTCCCTCCGACAATCTGGGTCCCCATTTTACCAACCTTGGAAGGATGGAAGACTAGGTTAACTTTGAGCCAAACAGGATCAAACTCCTGGCTATGTGCAGAGTCATCCTGCAATGCTGCATTCCAACCACTGTGCCACCAGGGAAATCCCCATGCAACCCTCACTGCATAGAGTAATATAAGTCATGTCTGACATAGCAGCAAATGTGCTTTATCAAATACAGGTAGTCCTCAATTTACAACGGTTCACTCAGTAACCATTCAAAGCTACAATGGCACGGAGAACAGTGACTACTGATCATTTCTCACAGTGATTTCTGTTGCAGCATCCTCACGATAACACGATTAACATTCGCATGCTTGACCACTGACTCACATTTATGACGGTTACCACCGTTGACCAAGCAAAGTCATTGGGTTAAACCAGATTTACTTAACAACCATGTTACTAATTTAACAACTGCAGCAATCCCCTAAACAAATGTGACGAGAAAGATAATAAAATAGGTCAAAACCCTATTAGCAAATTTCTCACTTGGTGACATAAATGTTGGGCTCCAAATTCAATTGTGGCCATATGTCATCCTGTAATCGTCTCAGCTGTCCTTACCACTCTCTTTATGGTCTTTCTATAGTGGTACACTAAACCGAACAGTGATGCAGTTTGTGAAAAGGCTCCAAATTGTCCCTCTGTAACAAGTGACCAGGTACAGAATATGAATGATATGCTCTCCTCATCCGATGCAGGGAATTCAGAAACTGCTTTCCAAGCTTCACTAAGGATGATGTGTGGAGACACCAAATCAGATTGTTATCTGTATCCCCAGATCCTTAATACTGTTGATTACCTCTACAGCGGCATCATTGGTACTGAGTGGAGTATGACCCTGCCAGCTCTTTCTACTATGATCTCCTTTGTTTTATGAACATTTAAAACCAGGTTACTTTTATTGCACCAGTCCACCCAAGCCTTCCCCTCTTCCCTATCAGCATCATCATTGTTTTCCTGGATAAATCCCACCACTCCTATGCCATCTGCATACTTCACAATATAATTCATAGCACATTTGGCACAGTGGTCTGAGGTCATCAAGCTGAACAGTAGAATATTCTAAACACAGCCCTGTGGGGAACCTGAACTCAAGGAGATGGTGATTGAAACTTCTATTCCATCTCTCGCAAATGGGGGGGGGGGAGTCTATCTATATATAGCAATAGCTCTTAGACTTATATTCCACTTCATAGTGCTATTACAGCCCTCTCTAAGCAGTTTAGAGAGTCAGCATATTGCCCTCAATAATCTGGGTCATCAGATGGATGAAGGATGAGTCAACCTTGAGCCGGTGAGATTTGAACTGCTGAACTGAAGCTAGCAGACTGCTGAAGTAGCCTGCACTACTGCTCTCTAGCCACTACACCACCTCGTCTCTCTCTCCCTCTCTCTCTCTCTCCCTCCCTCCCTCCCTCCCT